ATATATAAAAATGTTTAGTCTCATAATATTATGAATTAAAAACAAAAATCGCGTATTTTATAATTATTTTTATTAATTTTTTTTTCGTTATCTAAATATTACACTCTGCGTAAAAGTAGTAGGAACTTATAGGTTCTGTTTTTAATAATAATGTTTAAATGCCACAATAGGTACATTACTATTATATACTATACAGCGTAGGTACTATTTAAGTAGAATTTACATAATGTCAATCGTCATTGTACAGTAATTGTTATACAAAATAAATAGCACAGAATTTACTAATAAATAAATAAGTAGAAATACTGAACATTTTAGTACCGTTTATCAGACAATATTCGTTATATAAACTACCTACATTACATTTAATAACTATTTATAACTTAAATACATTTTTATAATGTTATGAAAGAATCATGTTTTGTGTATTCCACAATGTATACAAACATAGTTACGAGATGTATAAATAAAAGTGAAATACTTTTCCAGAGGCGGAATCAAAAAGTCTATTTTAAGTACACACAAAATTGACGCATATTTTTTACAAATTTTATATAATTATACATATTTTATTTTATTTAATGTATAATAAATTCCTTAGGCAAGCACAGTGAAATATTTGTTTCGAAAAAGACATGACTAAAGTTATGTTGGCACTACATGATGTCCAACCTTCCAAATCCAACCGTTCACCCGAACTTGATTGAATCAGCATTAAACATAAATCGAAACCTTAGCGAAAATGGGGGTACTGGATGGACTTTATACGTCAATATATAGAGGGCAGTTTATGCGAGGTGAGAAAGAACTCGCCCTGGCACATTGTGGAGTTGTTTTATCGATGTATGCTGTTCGTCGCGCCAATTCAACCAAGAGTTTATTGGAGTGTTGGAAGATCCATGTAGCCGGTTACATTTACATTTTAAAATCTAAGGTAGGTAATAGCCTCGTCGGCTATTTGGATTGGAAGTACACGGACAGCGTACGATAAAATTACAAGCAATATACCAAATCTTGATCCTACAAGAAAGTGTATTGTTAATTACTTAAATAAATGCGTTAATTAATTTCATCCTTAAATATAATGGATCCCTAAAACGAAGGTGAAGCTGTGCAGCTAATATTTAGGTGTATTTTTACGCTTCTACGTTAATAAATTCATAGTATTTCAGACGTTACAAAACTTTAATGTTTTAATTTTCTACACTACGACAATTATTTTGCCATAACCGCAAGTGATAAAGAATTGTAAAATAAAGTTTTATTTTACAGATAAAGTTAGTATGAAATCTTTAATCATTATTTAATATACATTTGGGACAATTTTACTGTATAGTTTATTTATTATAGGAGGAATTGTGTTATACCCGATGAGATCACAATATACGTAGCATGTCTTTACACAATTTAATATATAAAAACTATAAAACACTTTTACTTGTTATGAAATGCAAAACACCTAAACCTAATACATTAATTTACATAATTAAATATTTTCGATGATACGAAAACACAAACGAACAAGTCAACACCAAACGTGATAGCCACTAATGTCTTAATAAAAATTATATAATTAATTAGCAAACAAAAATATTTTTATTATAAATATTTTGTGTAAGCATTTAAATACATAAGTCATCTTTTGCTCATCAAGTTAAATACTATTTGTGTACACTTTATTTAAGCCCAAAATAACAGAATAAAATTGACAAAAATATTAAAAGCAAAAAACTGTATTATAAGTACCTAACTAATAATTTATTTACAATAAACAACTTTGTTATCGTATAATATATAATAATCACGAAAAATATTTTAGGCAGAAATACCTACTATGATTTTGAAAGTTTGCTTATTCACGAAAAGTAAAGGTAATATTTCTTCTTTATAATTCTTTAAAACCATACATTAATACTGTAGGTATGTAGGTCAATGTCGAAGAACTCATGGAGCAATATTTGATCGCGCCCGCAGCGGTATCAAGACCACCATAGAATATAAGAAATATAGGTGTAGAATTACATTACATTTTATGACGCGATTTGTGTGATCGCTAAGGCGTCGTCCTAATTCAACGTGAATGCGCGATCATAGCAAGTTCGCGCGGATTTTACTCGTACGAACATGCGATCAAACATACTGATCTCGAATAGGTGTCCTAATTGGCATTCGCGCGATGAGGTCGTGCGACTTAATTGTTTGAAAATCTATTCGCGCGAACTTATTTCGTACGAACGCGCGATCAAACATATTGCTGTCAAATAGGTGTCCTAATTGACATTCACGCGACTATCGCGTCGTATTGTCGGACAGCGGGGTGAAGGGCAGGGACCCGACCTATATTGATTGTGAAATTCACCACGTATCGGTCTCATTTCCAACAAAGCACATTGCTACCCATTTCGTTTTTTTCATTGCTGTCAAAACCAGTAAAATAAGTCATCTGTATATTAGCAGAAAGCAAAAATTGGACTTTTCTAACGTCCATGCTTTGCGCAAACTGCGAAGCGAAGCGGGACCCGCGGTCGCTCGCATCGTCAATTCGCGCGATGATCGCGTATTCGCGTTCTATTAGGACACCCGTTTTGTTATATCACGCGAGCACACGATGATCGCATCGCTTACTCGCGCGATAATCGCGTAATCGCGTTGTATTAGGACGACGCCTAACAGCTGCCACAGCATCGCAGAGGACATCGCCCGAGTCCTCTGCGATCGCAAACCACGGTGAGCGAGGGCGAGGGCTTTGCCTGGCGTTCTGTGATTTTACTAGTAATTATTTCATCGCAAATAATCCATCTTGTGCCCGCCCAACTTGTGATCATTTCCCGCTAAGTTTATGGGCGTTATCGCCTCCGCCGCGGTTAAGAATCTTCATAAAGCTGCAATCTCGTGTATTTGCAATAAAATAGCAGTTTTTATACCGCTGAAGGCGCAGGTAAATATCGCTCCATTAGCTTATATCGTAACAGTTATGAACGAGTTTTGTAAGTAGTATACTCTGTTCAAAATATTGTGGAATTGCCTATAACGACCACTTTTGATCACAATGAAGAAACGCTTTTACGCTTCAGCGCTCTTAAATCACTTTTTTAAATCGCTTCCAATATTCTTTTAATTTAAAACATTTGAAATCCTAATTTATAATCCGAAAGAACCTTTTCAAATTATTTTTATAGTGTTTCATTTCTGAAATAATTATAGCCGTAAAGTTTGATGACGACACTAATTAAAGTCTAACATTTAAATTATAAATTATAGAAAAAAAATCATGGCAATAAGATTAAAAAAAAAACACAATGAAACACAACATTATAATAGCATACATTATACACAAAACAGTGACACGTTCATGGTGACACCTTATGACATGACAAGTTTTCACTAGTGGGTTATAACTTGATGATTTTTTGGAGTGGGTCAGACTCAAAGCAAAGTAAATGGAAGATATACCGACCTATTCTGCGATCATAATGTTTTCACTTGTTTTTTACTTGTATAAGCGTCGACTGCCTTAATATGCGCAAATTGATTACTGCCGCCGTTACAACTATATCACGAAATCACCCACGCAGCTCATTGACAGAACTTTACGGAAAATATGCTAACCACCCAATAAGAAACACAGTATTGGAAGACGGTATCATCAACGTAACAACTTACGTTTTAGCACTAGCTACTCATTTGAAGTTTCGTCTCAAGCCTACTCCTCAAGCAAAACCTTTTTATTTCAAATGTAATTAAAATTAATATTTCATTTTCGCCAAGTCCAGTGTTAATTTCTTCGCAACAACTTAGTTGTGATGAAATTGACGCTAAAAAATCAATCATGTTCTCAACAACAAATACATAAGTAATGTCCTCGAGATCATATTTAGGTCTCGGCTTTTAGGCTCGACGGAGACTAGAAATATGCGCAGAACAGATTTAATAGTGCACGAGTGTGTGCGCACTCTCGATTCTCTTATAGTCCGATGGAACAGCAATCCTTTGCTACGTGCTTTCTGTAGCACGGGAGTGAAACACAAGCAACTTCCTGACTCCGGAGTTTGTCCGTGCTGAAACTGACAATTTCTTGAAAGGAAAACCCAGTAACTGATTTTGCCCCCACACATGTTCAGCAGTCGCGCTAATAACGACTAGATCAACAAGGCAGTCAACATACATAATAATCAAAGAGAGAAGAAGAGTCAAGAAGAATAATCACTACGTTTAATAATAATAAATAGAAAAGACACTCAAGAAAATTCATGACAATGAGGACATCCACAACTTTTTCTGCCACCAGGGCGGCGCCACTAGAAAGTGAGGTAAAATATTTGACAGATTTCATAGCGGGGAAGTTAATTTGTTCGGAAAATGTAAAGGTTATTGTTTCTTTCTGTACTATTATATATTTTTATATTAATAAGATTAGAAATAAATAAACCAAACCACAGATATTCATAAAAGTAGAAAAAACACTGACGCATTGTTTTGTGTATTAATTTAATGCTCTAGAAGCTGATAAACTTTTATTAAAAACCAACTTCTCAATTAAATTACACTGTGTAACAAAAAACTTTACCTCAGTGTCAACTAGCTACATCTGGTGAGCAGAAAATTATTAGCCCTCATTTACATAGAGATAAAAAATATATTATATTCAAAACTACCAGTACTAATAAAGCCTTAATTCTTGCCCGACTGATATGTAGCTTTAAGTTAGCCATACATCTCGAGGAACCGACAACCGGTGGGAGGAAAATGCTTCGTACCGGTAAGATAAGTATAGGGCAGCCCCTCCACTATATGCAGTGAAAACCGGGTAAAAGATGCAGAAGTCGATGGGTACAGTTGGTTAAGACCGTGTTTTGTGGTATTCCTTGGGAGAGGTCTATGGACATGAGACGGGCCGTAATGATGATGATGATGACAAGCTTTGTAAGTTCTATTAAATTATTACATAATATATTATGTATTTACTAATACTGTTTAATTTATTTGTACATTTTGATTATTTATTCCTTTTTACAAGACGCGTTGGTTTCGACGTATAGAATATTGTAAGGAACCGAAGATCCTTTATTTGACGCAGTGACTTGAATGGCGTATTTCCGTCCCGGATTTAACCCTGTTATCTTCTTTAATATAACTCTTGTGCTGTAAAAGATATTTTCTTATTAGTTTTCATTTTATGTTACTCGTACTTTAATTAGGTACACTATCATAATCGCTAGACACACTTGTAGGTAACTTAATAACTATTAGACTAAAACACTTGTTATATTGCATGTCTAATAAGGCCCACTTGATTATTTATAATCTCAAATTTCATGAATGAACCTGTAATAGTTCTTGACTTATTAAGGTCTGAAAAGTGATATTTTCATCATTCAATCATCAATCAAATTCATTCATTCAAAACCTAACCCACACAACTGGGTGACTTTGGGATTTGAAATTTAGTGGCAGCACGATGCGTGTTTACACAGAAAAAAAATTTAAAATCTACTCTGTGGTTAGTTCCAAGTAACGTATAGTGTATTCAGTAAGGTAGTTTCAGTACACCCGGAGGCGCACTTATTATTTTATTATTTTTAAAGTGTTTCTTAAATAAATGTTTTTCTATTCTAAGAATAAAATTGAATACTATTTTACTATTATGGTTATTGTAATAAAATACGAATATAAATACTAAACACAAGCACATAATAAATAATAGTACAGAATTTGCACTCTTTTATGTTGACTGCTTGCCGACGTTTTAATAGCCTACATAGTTATTATTAATCAGATAAATCGCGCACGCAAGCTAAATAAAACTTTATCGCTGCGCGCGATTGTCCGTATTACTTTGCATCTTTTCTCCTTACTACGTCACAACCGACTTTCCGTGTTTGCTAAGAGCTGTTAATAACGAGTAAAAAATACATTGTGCAATGGTAAGTTACTTAGGTAAAGTACCTATGCTGACTATAATCGACCATATTATCTACTATGTGAGTTCTATGATGCCCAACGCGTGCAACTTGCAAGGCCATTCGTCGGGAATCGCGACGCTTGGTTCGTATAGCTAGATAGCGTAAACAACAAATAAACCGGAAATATGATTCCTAACAGAAATATGATCGTAATCTACTTTGTTGAAAACCTTGTAGACAAAGTTTTAATTTCAGTATTTTGTGCTATTATAACTTAAAATGTTTTAATTACAAACGAGTATAGGTATGTAAGTAGGTACTTGGGTAGGGAAGTAAATTTCAACTAAGTTTTGTAATAAAGTACTTAGGTATTACTTCTGTAGTTAAATTATTATACTTAATATTTTTTTCGCTATAAGTACATACCTAACAAAAAATTAAGTAAATTTACCTTTTATTATCCTTCGGTAAGAAAAAATGATATATCTGAATCCTGTTATTTGCTCATTAAGCATCATTTATCAAATAGATAGGTAATATACATACATATTATTCTTAAATTACATTAAAACTTTTTCAACCATTTTATCCTACAATTAAATATACTAAACACTAAACAAAAACTATTTCGACGAGTATTTCAAAAATTTATTTACGTAAACAGCGTTAAAAATCTTTAACATTCAATCGTATAGAGCGCGCTAGCCCCGACTGCGATCTACCCCTGGGGCAGCTCGCGATTGTAGGTAGTTATTTCACGCAGGTAGCAAGAGTGACAGAGGCCTGACACAAGTTAGGTAGCAAAGAACCTTTCACAAGGGCGCTTCTTTTAAAAACGTCAAATTCTCCTGCGGCTGTACGCCGCACGCGGTGATCTTTGATGTCGGGGTGGCGCCTTTGACAAGATGCGGCATGTGCCAAGGCGGCGGGACACAGAGGCGGCCGTATTTAAGCTTATATATAGCGAATAACATACTATACTTAAATCTAACCGCACCAATAACTTTGTTAAAAAGAAAACAATGAAGCATAAAAACAGAAAAATATTGAAATATTTCAATTTTATTTAGATTAATAAAACCTTAATATAACTGTTGTGACTTCGTAACAGTCCCGATATAATATCCTTTTCCTAAGTATTTCCTATCCTCCCGCCTCCCCTATATACGCACTACTCAAGAATGGTGCGCCACCCATCGCCAAGAAGAAAAAGAAACAAGATGGCCGCGCACGCATAAACCGTGTTCGTTACCGCTCGTTTAAAAATACTCAATAAATAAAGTTGTAAGACTATCGTGAAATTACTCGTCTCAATTTACATTTGAAGTGCAGTGTGGTGTCTGTGTATACACTAGAACTTCAGCATAAATATTTAGACTTCACCATAACCACGAGGAGTGCTCCAGTCTTGTGTGTATCCTTGCTTTATCTACCCAATTCTAAAGCTATTTTCGTTTACTTCCCGGCTACGATCATCGGGTCGCCAGCCCTTGGTCTGGTTGTTCTCTGGTTCCCAAAACCACCTACGAAACACTTTGCAAAACATTCCAGCCGTAACAATAACCTTTCTCATAAACTAATGCTAACCCATCCCATCAAAAACAAAAATAGGGAGGTCAAGTTGAATACAATCGATGTCCGGGGTTCACCGATAAAATACTTGAGTTCTAAGCGAGCGTCAAGATGCATAACAGTTTCAAGTACGTTGGAACATCTTCTAGCTATAATTTTAGAAACTGCCGGACATATAGGAATCTGTCATAGTGTTAATAATTTCCTGATGATTTGCTGATTTTTGATACCGGATGTATAGCTTTACCTCTACTTATATAATATTATATTAACACAGTATCTCGTCGCCGACTTGGTCATATCAAATCTGGTATAAAGTTATAAATATGGGAAGTTTGTACCGTCATTTACCGTAGGTCTCAAGAGTTTTCACCCATTTTCCCGAGTCAACTCTTACGAAACCTACGGAAAGAGATGGAGTGATAAATTCTCTTAAGCTTTGGTGTGTATTACTGTACTTAAAGTGTGTTTTTTCTTTGAAATTTGGAGGCAGATTTCATACATAAATTGTACAAAAAAACATCCAGAGCCGAAACAATTATTTGTAAGCCTTACAAATACTTGTTCCGTGCGGGATTCGAACCCTTGGCCCTCAACGACAACAACGCATCATTGTACCACGGAGTCGTCAACATGGAATATGTATGGCTTTATTTAGTTAATATAGATTTCTAACAACTTTTTGTGATTTAATTTCTTTTGTTAACAACTAACGACAACTTTTGCGAATAAAATTAAATAAGAGAATTAGTTTAGAAACTACTTAAGAAACGTCTAAATGTCGCAGTAATAACCATGTCGTCGGAGCTAGGTTTATTGGATTAAATTCTAACTTTGGACTACTACGTTGATAACTTTATCAAGTACGTCTGCGGTTATCTGATACCCACTTGGAAGATAATTTGATGAAAGTATTTCTCAATTTCGTTATCAATTTTTTTTACCTAGTCAAGGATCTTATATTTCTCTTCATCTGTCAGATGTGGTTAGATTTTGATTAGTGAGTCTCTTTCGAAATCGAGGTGGGAGGACTCCTTTTTCGTCTTGGCAGGTTAGTACCCTGTTGCAGTTTTACTATTTTTGCCGGGAGGTAGAGAGACTTTAGCCATTCTTGTATGAAGTTGGCTTACCATCGGGTGGACGTAAGTACGTTGGTCATTTCTATTTACAAAAAAAAAAAAACATTCAGATGTATAAAAACAGAAGATGTATAAAAATGAAATAGCATACATGTTGGTCAGTGGCGTAGCATGGTTGTCTGTCATCCGAGGTATAAAAGTTAAACTCCCCACCCTACACATATTTACGCAAGTGGCTTTAAAGTATAAAAGCGGTATATTATTCGAAATGAATCAAATAATATGGCAAGTTTGTGATGATTATTACCTAAATTATTAGAAAATTCAATGCTAAAATTAAAAAGTTAGGGCGTGGGGCTGACTTTTTTTCAATGCAGGCCCCAATAAATCTGTCTTCTAGGCTCTCCTTTGCTATGCCACGATGTTGGTTACAACTGGACTTCAAACCTAAGATTGGCACATAGTAGCCAGGCTTTACAAACACCTAGTCAGTCTTATTTTCAGGAAACAAAAAGAAAAATAGACGGACACGTGTCACTTGAAGCGACGCAAACACCATGCTTACAACTTAGAATACGACAACTTACAAAACAACTTAACAATACGCACTCACGCACATATCTTTCTTCTTTCTTTCTTCAACAGTTTACAAAAGTCACTCTACTGATGGATCCACACATAATTATTATGCTCCTAACCATGTTATTGGTGTCAAATGATTTTAGATGTATATGTATACGCGAGTGCGTGTTATTACAAGCTTGGTTATTGTCACTTAAAATGTACGCAGCTCTCCGTCTTTCTTTCCTTGTTGGTTTAAAGTCCTATTATAAAAATACCTGTGTGGTGGCTGTTAGGTATACAACCCAGCAGTAAGATCAATTTTGGCTGAAACTATACTTTTGGAACGAAGTTCCATCGCACGGTACGGACTTGGCGGATGAGGGCTAGGGTAAAAAAAGTGTAAGAAAAAAACCGTCACGACCCTTTCTATAGTGTAGACGGCCTTGGAGGCTATAAGGAAGCGGGATGGAATAATATCCATCTCCCTCGCACTTTTTCTTATCTAACCATGGAAAAAATATTATTTTAAATGACGCTTCTATTTAATGGACGCTAATAATTTATTTATTTGTATTTGTTAATCAATAATATAATACGTTTATCAATAGTAATATACTACGACAGGAAATTCGTTCCAACCGAGTTTTCCACGATACTCACACATATTTTTTTACTTTATTTTTTATTTTGAGATGGGTGTTCCGTTCGATAGTAACATATTGCCTTATTGCCAATATTCACATATTTCCCTTCTCGAGATTCATGATGCCAGCAAGATATAAGCGGTAGAGCCATGTTGCAGCTATATCGTGGTTGAAGCACGAATGGGTCGGCTCGACCGGGGAAGGATCACCCTCTCATAGAATGCCTATACGATAAATGAAGATGTCTATTGGTATCCACTTACCATTAGGTAGACTATGTCATCGTTATTCTATAAAAAAGATTAAGTATTTTTTTTTAACTTTCTCTACTTCTACAATAAGTTAGTACTTAGCCTTAAAAGTATAAATTTATTATATTCGTACACTTACGGTGATCTTTGCATATGATTTAAACACTGGATCTTAGCAGCCTTCTTCGTCGATGAGCAGCCGCTGTCTTTATTCAAACTCTCTCTTGCTACGATGCAGTATCTGTGTGGAATTGGAATATTACAACTTTGTAAAAAAAAAAAATTGAAAAATTATATGGCGTGGTTTTGAAACGTAAATAGTACGATCTATGAAGACTACGAGTTCATTCATCACCATTGTAGCCCTATATTAACGAGTTGAATGTTGAGCCACAAAGCACGGCCCTGAGTCACCTGCATCAATCCAGTTCCTGTATTTTTTAAGTCTTCGCCTTCGATGAACCATTATGAAATTATTATGAAATGAAAATCTCAATAATTTAAAAGGCTTTTAATTACAATAAGATATTTTGATTGGCTCATAGGTATGTATGTAATTACTCTAAGGGTCAGTTCACACAGAGACGCAACGTAACGCGACGATGCTTGAAGAGTCGCGTTGCGTCGCGATTGAATTATGCCGCGGGACGCATCGCGACGTCGCGCGGCGCATCATGAAGTTGCTGGCAGCGTTGTTGCCACGGCGCAGTGAGCCGCCGCGCGGTAATAGTAATTGTAGAGATAAGTCACCACGACGCCTTCAGGCTGCGTCTCGCGTTGTTGCGCTGCGTCACGTGGCTTCGCGAGGCGCAGCGCTGCTCTTGCACACTGCGCCTACTGATGAAGCACCTCGATCTCAAGGCGTATCGTAACGTAGCGTGATGCCGCAGGGCATTTTCGAATTATCTCAATAAAATATGTATCTTTGTGTACTTAAAGTTATATTTTGTATCACTATCTTAAAAATCGGGTCGTCACGTGTCGGTGTGAACTGACCCTGAACTGAAAAGTTGTGACCAATCTATATTAATCTATGGTTATCACATAAGAACATTTCTACCATAGACTAACTAACTACTTTTCTAATAATATTATTTCTTCACGATTCCTAAATATTTTTCGCATTAAATATAAATACAAATATTAATAAAAAGGCCATGATATGGGGATGTGACTTCAACATACGGTTAAATTGTCATCTATCGGACCATGATTTTTTTGGGATTTCCCGTAAAGCTTCCTTGGGATTGCCTATCCTATGTACCGTAACTGTAAAGAGACAAAATGGGATAATGGATTTGGTAAAGTATATGATAAATTTAACGAAATATTGACTCACCTGATCACGTCAGTAGCATTATGTGTTGCGGGCAAAAAGGCGATATCAACTGATTTACAAGAACGCTTGGGTCGTAGTTCTCGGACTATTCCACCGTCGTCCGTAAGCTCCGGCATACATATTCCCCATCTTGATGTCGATGCTGTTAACTATAAGTAAGTATTATTAATGTAAATCCATCCATTCATACTATTACAGGCTATAAATATAAGAGTCCATTAATGATTATAAGCCTAACCCATAGATTGCCTCATAGAAAGAATTTTTCATATAATTGTCGCGGTTGGCAGGGTGGAGGACAGCCGCAATTTTTTATTATTTTGAGTTGTTGTCAGGGAGATGTTCCTTTTATTTTTTTTTTAAATGTTACCACCACACTAGGATTTTCTCCTGTATCGTGGCAGTTTACAAACATAAATTGCACGAGGACAAACATCCAGACGCGGAACAATTATTTGTAGGCCATACAAATAGCATGTTCCGTGCGGGATTCGAACCCGCGGACAACAACTCATTTCTAAGCCACTGCGCCACGGAGCCGTCCTTCTTTTTTAGTTTCCTTTTATTGCTTGTTACGACATCTACAGGACGATATGAGGTAGTAGATACCCTAACACCACCCCTACAGGGTTTAATGAATGTAAATCTATGAATTTTGCAAATGTTTACAGGATGCTATATCATTGAACTTTATAGAACTTTCTAAAAAATAAAAACTACCCAATTTAGCTAATAGAATAATCAAATAATACTCCTTTTTATCAGCCTGTAACACAAAAGACAAGTGACAAGAGCCTCTACCATGAAAACAAATTTGTTATAATAACCATACTTGGCGATCGCAGTAGCAAATATGTCGAACTCTCCGTCACCTATCTATCTATCTATCGTATTTACACATAATATTAATCTAGTATTAATACTTTTTTCTTAATCACCTTGTAAGTTAATTGATAAAAATGATAGGATTTCCTTAATGGTCACGTTTGGTGTGCGGATTGTTAATGGAAGTACCAGAACATCTCTTAGCTTTGACGCAAGTATTAATACTAAAGTGAAAATGTTTATTACCTCTTCGTGCGGTCGTAAAAGGCGACTTTAAGGATTTCCAGAAAATTTTATGGTCTCTGATACATGTCTAAACTACCTCGTCCGGCATCTGTCTGCATGTAGAGGAATATTACGGGATGAAAAAGGAAGAAATTTTTATTACAGTATCTTCCTTTGATCTAAAACTTCTGGCAAAAAGAGAAACAAAAATCTCTGCAGTTTATTTCCATTAATCATCTCTTACGACAGACATGGAAAGAGACAGAGCGATAGATACTCCTAGAAAAACCATCAATTTAAATTCAACACTAGATTGAATATCAATTTCACTAGATTATCTTTATATATAAAAGTTACGTGTCACATTGTTTGTCTGCGATGAACTCCTAAACAACTGAACTGATTTCAATGAAATTTTGCACACTGTATGCAGTTTAGTCCAACTTGAGAGATAGGATAGTTTTTATCCCGATAAGTGACCCTCAATTTTTTATTGCTAATTTCAGGAGTTTTTTAGGAAAGCAAATGGTCGTCGGAAAGGGTAGAACAACGTCTGCCTGGTCAGCTAGTATATTATATATATCTAAGATCATGAAATCTGTTTTTCTAACCTCAACGTTTACAGCTTCGTCCCTATTCCATTTGCTTGGCATTACACGTATGACGTATCGCATCTTTGTTTCTTCAGAACTCGAGTCGAACTGCACTGAGCCCTCGTCGCTTGTTTCCTGCATGGATGACGATAGTAGTGGCGCCGGTACGAAGAATTTCAAGTGAGGTTCTGTGTGAACAAATAACATTACGTACTCTTTCTTTTTTCTTATTCTCTCAAATTTTTTAGGCTACAGAAAGTGATATTAAATTTATAGAAGATTGCTCATACTCCGTACACTGGATGGAGTTAGGTTTGAGAATGCTGAGCTACATGAATCAGCAATACTGCTCTTTTCGAATTGATATATTGCCATTTATCGATTGCTAAAACTTCGATCGGTGTATCGTATACAATCGAGGTCAACAAAATATGGAAAAAATAGTACATCCACATACCCTGTGAGCAATGAAAGGAAAGCCTGTGCCCAGGATTAGGACGTATAAAGACTGTGAATATAACTTTTACTTCACATTTTACCTTAAACCCTTCATTAGTATTATTTTTAACAATTTTACCACCCATGTGGCGGCACTGCCACCCCATCACAATGACGCATTCGCAACACAACAACCAAAGCCTAAATCACGCTATTAAAGTTTTCAAGCGTTTTGTTATAAGCATTGTATGGTGCGATTGCTTGTTTGATTACTTGTTTGAAACTAATACTAATATTTTGATAACCAAATTGCTTAATAGATAGTGTAACAGTATACGGGCTTTTGTGTTTAAATCCAAGCCGAAGCTATTTTTTTTACTTATTATAAGTCAGTGTTGGATTACAATCCCACCTGGTGGTAAGTGGTGATGAAGCCCTAGATGGTAAATCGCATTGCATCATTTGCAAAGCAACACAATTTTGATGACCACAGTTCATGACACTGCATTATATCCATTCCAAGGCTAATAATTCGTTACGGGAAGGTGAAAACGAGTTGGAGTTTTTGTATTTGCCAAAATTTTGACAGAATGCGTAATTGACAAATTTCAATTTCTTTTAAGATCACTGTCCAGACGCAAATGATAAGCGTTTTACCGGTGAAGGTTAAAGAGAGCTAGTATAATTATATGAAGCATTCCATCTTGATCCTCTGCAGGTGATAGACTGCAGTAGTCACTTATCATCAGGTGCACTAAAAGTTAAACACACAGTTTCTCACTTTAATTTTAATTTAAAAGAAACTAACTATTTCTAGATGTACAACTTCTCATTTTCAACAGCTTACAAATGCATATAACAACTTCAGATATGCCACGGATCCGGAGATCCGCATCCTAAATGCTGTAACAATACCCTCTCGTGTTTTCCTTTTCTCTCAAATTATGATAGTGTACTTTTTTAAGACAAAGAAACGAAGTTATCACACTTCGAAATGTTTGTTCTAATTAGTATGTTTTTTTATTATAGAAATAGGGTGACAAACGAGCACACAGTCCACATGATGGTAAGTGGTTGCTGTGGCCTCTAGACATCTACATCTATCTTCTGGTGAGGACTAAGATAGAATGCCTCTTTTCCAGTAAAATAGGTATCCACTTCTCAACACTCACCATACGAAACACAGCAGCATTAAGCTGCTATTTTACGCTAGTATTCTGTGAGAGCGTGGTCCTTCTCCGGTCGATCCGACCTTTCGTACTACATTTATACTATTAATATACCTGCAGCATGGTTTTACGTGTTTTTTTAAATTAAATCTATAATAGTACAAACTTACATTTATATTAATGTACTTACCTACACTCTTGGAAATGTAAAGTCGCTTTCCTTTTACCAACACTTCAATGTCTATTGCACCACCGCAAGTCGATATTGCCACCCAGATACCACCGCCCATTCCGACTGCAGCCTACAAGAATTTAATTCCTTTCTTTTAGTCAAGAAAGGATGATATTACGAGCACATATTCCACTTGACGGTAAGTGGATACTGTAGCGTATAGACACCTACATTTTATATCCTTAATCAAAAATCAAAATTCTTAGCTACCCCGTCCTCTTTTGAATTCGGCAAAGCAATTGAAAGCTGTAGCTCCTGAATAGGCAGATTTATAAGAAGAACCGAATTTCCACCATATTTTCACGAAAGAGGCATTTTCCGAAGGAAAATATTTGAGATAATAACTATTTTATAATCAAATTTATCATCATCATCATTTAGGAAGATATTTAACTTGCCAGTGTCAAATAATTACTTTTTTTTTGGGCATACTATTAGTACCCTATATTAATTTCCTTAGTCAGTAGGTACATATATTTATTTTATTTTTAAAGACAGTACATTACATTTTTTGGATGTAGCAAAGAAATAATGTCATTGTAAGTACCAAAAGATCTTACCTTGAAGTAATACACGGATTTTCCCTTAATTTCATTTCGAAGTGACACATTTTCACGTAGTCTTTTAGCTGTAGACGTGCGTGGTCGGACGCTGCCTGTGGCCAAGAGTGAACCGGCGCGACGATCTCTAGATACCCCAAATATGCTGACAAAATACGTCTGCAAAATAAAACAATTTATCAATGAAATTTAAGCCCGTATAAGTGGTTGCTGTGGCGCATAGACATCTACATCTATTCTCTCGTTTGCGAATCGAAATGCAGATGCTTTATCAGCCGTGAGGACTAAGATGGAATGGCTCTTTTCCATTAAAAAGTGTCTCCGGTTTTCTATACTCACCATACGAAACACAGCAGCATTAAACTGCTATTTTACACTGGTATTCTGTGAGATCGTGGTCTTTCGCCGGTCTAGCCGACCCATTCGTGCTACAACTATACAATTAATATAATTGCAGCGTGGCTCTACCACATATAAAACCTCTCCCTTTGAAGAAAAGATTTGCCTATATCGTCAAGTTTGGTTGTGCCAACCTCAAGCAAAAAAGACTACAGATGCGTTGTCATCTTTGAGGGATAAAATGGAATGCCTCACCACCTGTGATTATTATACCCTTCCACCGAAACACAGTAATGCAACTACTGCTGTTTTGCAGCAGAATTAGGTAAGAGGGTGGTACCTACCCATACGGACGTCTAGACGGAAAAGGAGACCTATACATTTTTTTTAATTTTGGTTTCCGCTGGAGTTTACTTCCCCCAGCGGTAATGTATTGTCAAATTGCCACGGACATTTTATATTGGTCACACAATTTTCATAAAGGGGATATATGAAATTGCGTTCTTGACATCGTTCGTAACAGTTATACAAAAATATGTAGGTATTATAAGTATAATTAGATGGTTTTTATTTCTGTAATGTATGGGACAATCATATAAGCATTTTTTTTAAACTGAAAAACGAAAGCTAATGCTTTTACCATAGCAAAAACAAAACGTTTTTATGTATTTTGTCTATGGCATTAGATAATGAAGGCTATTTTTTGTAATAAATAGCCTTCAGTATAAAAAAAAGTCATAATAATGAAACGTTGAGGCGAATCTGTAGAAAATATGATTTTTTGTCGTAAGTAGCAAATGTTGAAATCTTTAAAATAAGATATATTTGAACTTTATTCACGCCAGGCTCAAGCTTGTAAGGAATCAAGTTCATCTCCTTTATTACACTAAGAGTGGAGAAATAATTTACGCTATTTGATACATAATTGTCTTCCACTCTCTATTACTACTAATTGTATTTTGTTGTTTTAAAAAAGATTAAGAAAGAAGAAAGAAAGAAAGAAAATAAGTTTATTTCGTAACACATTTTAGAAGTTTGCTAACCACAATAACATATTATGATAAACGGTTACTAAAAAGGTACCCAACTCAGCATAGTCTTGATACTAACAAAGTACTTCGACACTGATCTTCCGTGGGTGCCAATAACATTTAACAAAAACAAAACTTAACAATATTCATTATTATACAATGTTAAGTCAATATGCACATACAGTATATTTAAACCATATACACGATTACACTATAATATAAGTAATAAAACATACACAAGTACTTATATAAATTAATATAATAAAAATAGCAATTACTTAAGGCGCAGGTTGAGCAAAATGTCGCGCTAGTCGTTATTTGGGCGGTTTTTAGAAGCTATCTACTTTTTATTTAAAAGATATATCAACAAATAAAAAACACATTATATTTCTACATAATCTTGATTCCATAAAAGCTATATCCAATTTTTTTTTAAAGGAATAAATATTAATATAATCTCCTTACAACGAAACCACATAAATGTGAAATTATTATTGATAACATGCATCTCCTCGTAAAGTAAGTATTATTTTATTTTGCGATTTACACCAATGGATAGGCAATTTATTAATGAACATTTCTATAGTAAATTTTTTTTCAAAAGACCAATATTTGATTTTATTAAGAAATTATTTTAAAATCTGGGCATATTTACTGCTCACGGGCTTGCTGAAGTCAGTGAGCGCTGAGCTCTTCGACGTGAAGCCCGTGTCGTTAGAGCGTCGACCAACGCATACGCCACGTCATATGAGTCGATAATATTATTACTTATTAGGTTATTTATAGGTAGTATTATTTGTTTGTTTTGAGTATAATTTTTCGTATTAGTTATACATATATTTGTTGTGCTTTTTACTGCGCGATGAAGCTTTTTGCGTGTATTTTATTTGAAGTAAATGCAAATAAAAAAATGAAGCACCATTAGCATGTAAGGTTCGAATCCATAATTAAAATTTCGACAAATATTATAATTTACACTATAAAAGGCTAATTCAATATTATCACCCAACCACAATATCTTATTAGGTATAGTACTGCCTCGTTGGTCTAGTGGTTGTAGTAGTGCGACTGCTGATCATGGGGTCCCGGGTTCGAATCCTGGGTCGGGCCAAAAAGTCAGTTATGAGTTTTTCATTTATGTTCTAAGTTATAATTAGTATTACTAAGTTATAGTTTTTTGCTAAAATATAGTATATTATTTATTGCTTGTTTTTTCTTCTTTTTAAAAAAATAATTGAGTACATAAGGTGTTCTATACTTATAATTCGGTAAAAAGTATCTAAGTAGGTACTAATATACTATAAACTAAAAATTTTTAAAACTAAATTTAACTAAAAAGACTAAACTGACCATTTATTTTTTAACTCATAACAGGACATGGGTTTATTTATACTCTAAAAACTATAACTTTATACAATTAGTGTTCACTATAAAATTATATTCGGTATAGACGGTAATTATTAAATGCAACATATTTTTTTTAATTATTAATTACATTTGTCAGTGGATTAAATTTGCTTTAATAAAGTTGGTGATGATTTTAAATAAGAATAAAATTCTGCTCAAGTTTTTTATTGTTATCTTTGTTAACAACATCGCCTTTAGAACTCTGGAACCGTAAGTGTTTCTTTCAGACGTCCACAATTTATGCAAAATAAAAAAATACTCTTTCTACCGGAGCATTCGTACCAGGTAGACATAAAATATACTCGATTAAAAAAAACTATGTTGAAGATTGTTGACTTTGAATACTTCCATCCAACGAGCTACGGGACAATTTTGTGTCCCGGAGCTTTGTTTGGGGACAATGGGACAGGAGACCGAGAAAAGGGACAATCCCGTTCAAAACGGGACGTATGGTCACTTTAGCTATAACCCGGCGACCATGAAGCAAATACAAAGTTAGTTTTTGTATTAGCTTCATGGTGGCGCAGTGGCTTAGCAATCAGTTGTTGCGCTGGGGGACGCGGGTTCGAATCCCGCATGGAACAAGTATTTGTATGGCCTACAAATAATTGTTCCGGGTCTGGATGTTTGTCTTTGTGCAATTTATGTTTGTAAACTGCCTCCACGACACAGGAGAAAATCCTAGTGTGGGGGTAACGTTTTTTTACAACTGAAATTGAAAGATTGAACCCTTATACTTCTTGTTGATTTTTGTATTACCTTTATTAAAGTTACCCTTATGTATAAATAAATATAATTACGTATGTAGAAATAAAATTGATTTTCATCCTCATCAATCATTGGGGTGAGGATAATATCTGCTAGCATAAGTAATAAGCAGGCTAAGTTACAAGGTGCTCAGTTCAAAAATTAGTAGGTAACTTTTCAATACGTGACACGTAAAAATTAACAATAATCAAAAACACATATGCGAAACATCCTATTTATTTATTTATTTTTTATTGCACCAAATATTTGTACAAAAGCCGAGCTATCTATTTATTTACCTATAGTGAATAGGTATCTTTTAAACTCACAATTTTCAATGCTTCAGTTTTAATATATAATTAATTATAAAATTTCATAATTAGATAATATATGAAAATACATAATTCTAATATAATGCAACTAATATATACAGAATAAAAAAATTAAAATACATTTATCTTTGTACGCTATGTGTATTTCCATAAAATAGTTTATTGATGTTGAAAAAATAATACTACTTTCGTACAATAGGTGGCGTCTTACATATTTCTTCCGGCGAGCCGCTCGCTACAATATTAATATATTAGGTCAAATGCTCAAGGTCGTTCGCATGGAGTAGCCCCTTAAATAAGATTAAAAAGAAGCGAATAAACGGAATAGAAAAATATGTAAGACACAGTAAATAATTATCAATAAGTTGACTTTTGAATACTGAGTAAGTATTTTTTGTAGTTATATTTAAACAAACCGATTGAAGCATATTGTTTTAGATATTGTAAGTAATGGTTTGAACAAATTCAGTCGGCTGCGCGTTGGTTATGCTCTAATATACACGAGTGTTTTCGAAAATTATTAATGAAAAGTAATTATCGTTGTTTTAAGTATATAAAATGAATTTGTATAATAAGTGTGTGATAATAGGATGAACTATTCTATAAACTTTTAATCTAATTAATTAAAACATGTTATTTAGTGGCACGTAAAGCATATATAAAACATATTTGACGCTGTTGCCCGTTGCCGGCGTGAATAAACTGGATAGTTATACCACCAACTATTGCAATCTATAAAATCTTTTTGGCCTAGCTCATAGTTGCGTCTAACGACACTTATTGATGAAATGGGGCTGATGGTGCCACGAAACTGACAAGAATCATCAAAGATATAAAGAATATTCTTAAAGCTACAAACCGTGCTTGGATCCAAGTTTTCTATAACATGATGCGTTCTATCGCCGACGCATGCAATCAAGGGATCTTCACTGCTTACTTTTGTACTTCGTCCTGTTATAAAAAGAAGCTCATCAGAATTATATTTTGATTAAATAATAACAACAAAAAAGTGCTGGTGCAATTGTTTCTGCCTTTACTATCTATTTCCTTTTAAGTTACGAAGATTTAATTTATGAAAGACATCTTTTTTAGACAAAAATACTGCAGAACTGAATTTTAATGAAATTTAGTCAGATATTAATCGAGAAGTAAAATAAATTGGTAAAATTATATTGATATCGTTATCACCTATTTGTACTCGAAATATGCGAGACGAAAAAGTTCATTAATTTAGGTACGAACGTGCGCATACATACAGATAGAATCTGACTTTCGGAAATTAGGCCTCAACTCTTTGAAATAGAAAGTTGAATGTATAACAAAATATATAGGGTTATTTTGCAATAACCGGCCAAATTCAGACTAAGTAATATAGGCAAATAGTGAAGAAAAATTAATTAAATAAATCTCAAACATTCTGTCCTTTTTAACTTTTAAATTCAGAATGCGTGATAATGCATTATTTTAACTGATTGTCATTCATAAATATCTAACGCCTACTCTTTAACTACGCACGCACATATTCGTGAGAGTCGATCGAATTGAATCGCACACAGAAGAGCGCGCGTACGCATAGTTGTTGCCCATAAATCACATTTAATTTGGAATAATTTCAAATAAAAGTAGAGCCTTATATACCCGTCTTTTCAAAAATTACAATAACGGTATAGCATTATTTATATACTTGAACTTAAGTTTAAAATTTGGCTATACTTTGAAAAATAACCCTGTATAAGCTCAAAAAGGTGTAAAGTGAAATAAGGCAATTATAAATTCTATTTCTGAGCTGTAAGTAAAAAATTATGTATACTCACCGAACTTTTTCTTCCTATACACATTTTTAAAGTTGCCTTCGTAAATATTAAATCCGTCTATGTCCAGATCTACATTATTCTCGACTTCGACCGAAGCGCTCTGATAGGTCGCGTTATTCTCCAAACGACCCGTTCGTTGATTCATTTCTGGATTGGAGCGATTTTCTTCCGAATGCAAACGCGATGATTTGTTTTCCAAACGACTGGCTCTTACGTCTCTTTGGGCAGCGCAGAGGGACGTGTAGTTTTTTCTATGAGATGCAACGACGCAATATGTAGTCGACTGTGGATCTATCGGACTGAAAAATTAACATTTACTTTTGTCAACGTGAAAGAAAAAACGCGATTTTTTTATTATTTCATTTTAGATTTGTGGCATGTCCTGACGCTTGTCATAAATCTCCGATTACTAATACAATAGTATGGTATGGAACACCGTAGTTTCTTTTTATTTTAGGTACTGCACATGTCCGGCGGTAATAGTAAATATCATGAGCAAGAATTATATGAAAAATGTAATAAACAGAGAATGTGAAGTGCCTATGCATATGGAAGCCGTGACGAGACTTTAAATGAAAAATAAAAATGGAAGATGAACTGAGCTAAACAGTGCGTTCATGGCAGTGAAGATGGCATGAAAGAACCTATCAACCCATTCCGCCCCGTGGGTGTCACAAGATGTGACTAAGAGGAAATGCCAGAAAGATCTTATAAGTAAGGTCTTAACTATTTCGTTCCCAACGGAAAATATACCAGACGTAAATCGTGAGGAAACCTGCATGTCTTACAAATTAAAAAAAAATTATTTCGAAGAAGTCCACCAATACGCATCGGAGCAGCACGGCGGACTTTTCTACCCCTAAAAACCTTCTCAGAAATGAACGGAGGCCTGTGCCCAGGAGTGAAACGTAGTAGAGTATAACTTTAAATAATACAGACTGGCAACGGGGAGCACAATCAAAGGTGCGATAAATTTGGTATCGCCAATTCGTCTGCCAAACATAGCGATGAAGTTAAATCCTTCTTACGAGGGTACTTGCATTCAAAAAATATAATTGTTTTATCGAGATATCGGTTCATAGCAATGTCAGAATCCGATAAATGGACGGAAATGACTCAAATTCATAATATAGATATGTTAGTTTAGTATAAAAAAGAAAATCACAAATTACTGACCCTATAGGTGGCGCTGTTGACTAGTTATTTCATTTTTACACTGTAAAAAGTTCGAAGTGGATTCGGAGTGAAACTCACCACTCCTACTGGAAAGGGCAGAACATACATACAACAGAACGTCTGCTGAAGCAGCTTGTTATTTATGAAAGTAAACTTATTTAATCGTCTGACTAAATAACAGTGCTATTGTGTTACTCTAGCTCTAGTGGGGTAGTGGGAATCATGGTGGCCTTCGTTTTGACTTTTGAAATTTGGCTTCCTTGTATTGTGTATCAGTATCGACTATGATCTGAGTCTTCTCATATAAATATCATATTTAAGATCTCAGAACAAAAAAAAAAGATAAACGTAGAGTTGTACCTACTATGTGTACTCGTAGGTACAACTCTACGTTTATCTTTTTTTATTTCTTCTTTATTTCTTTAACATCCTACTTATGGACGCAGACTTAAGCATGTAAACCACATCGTTGGTTGTAAATTATTTAACATGCATATGTATGCGTGATTGCGTGTTATTATAATAAGACATGTGTACACTTGAAATATCTTTCTTTGTTAGTCTGATTTTAAAGTTACAAGTTCCGAAATGGTTTGCACCGACAAACTATTCTTACCAGAGTTACAGTCGCACTGCAGTTCTGTAGGAATTATACTCTGTGTCGACAAATTGAAATTCGTATTGAACGTTGTACCATTATTGATCTAATTATGCTGGAGCCGACAAATATTCCTATTGAAGCATTCGATAATGACAGAAACCATTTAACCATACTTAGCATTGAAAGAAAAAAAGTCAATTGTACAATTACGCTTGCTCAGATAAAAGCTAAGTATATTTTTTCTACACCGATAACCAACACGAGTGTTTACTTGCTTCAAGTAGTCGAAGCGTTTTGAAAATCCTATTGAACTACGTTAAAGGTAAGATCGGTCTAACGATTATAGCATGCTGACCGATTCTGTGAAAAAACTCGCCCACTCCTATTGGAGAATGGAATGTTTCAACGCTTCTTTATTTTGTTTTTATTTGACTTTTTTAAATCGCTTTCGAGGACGGACTATGAGGAATTTAAATCGAGAATTAAAGGCATGGATTGCAGATTTAAATTTTATACCGGTACTGTTTGTACCGTTTGTTTGTACGTTCGTACAATTTTTAAAAGAGAATTAATTAATGTTATTATTTAATCAATAATGGATTTGGAAAATAACACATATACTCCCGTGGGTATCATAAGAGGGCCAAAGGGAAACTGAAACAGGGATGGGCAGCAACATATTTCTGACTCAATAAAAACTACGGTTACCAACACACCTGCCAAGCGTGGCAACTTTGGCAAAATCCCCCCTATATAGCAAGAGAGAGACTTTGTTCAGCAGTAGACTTTTATAGGCTGTAATGTTATGATAATGGTTACTATTATTATTATTACATTGTCATAAGTATTATATAATTATAATTATATTAACGATATCCTAAATAAATACTTCATTTATTTCAAGCAAAATAGTATTATCAGTTATTGATAGACCTGCCGTACACTGCCAATTTTAGATTTTTTTATTATTATTAATAAACACTACCAATTTTTTTTATAGAATAAGGGTGACAAACTAGCACACAGTCCACCTGATGATAAGTGGTTGCTGTGGCCTATAGACATCTACATCTATCTTCGTTTGCGAATTAAAATGCAGATGCGTTGTAAGCCGTGAGGACTAAGATGGAATGCCTCTTTTCCAGTAAAAAGGGTCTCCGGTTCTCTATACTCACCATACGAAACACAGCAGCATTAAGCTGCTATTTTACGCTGGTATTCTGTGAGAGCGTGGTCCTTCCCCGGTCGAGCCGACCCATTCGTGCTACAACCATACTATTATTATAGCTACAGCAAGGCTCTACCACGTATAAATAATTAAAATTATCTAGTATAATGAATAAAGTAAACTGTTAGTCCATCAGACGATAAGAGGCCATTACAGCAGCGTCCTCCTAATAACAACTAAAAATAAAAAAGAGCGGTTGCCAACCCACATGCCAAACGTGGCAACTATGTATTCCTTATGAGATAATACTTGGGGGAGGCCTATATTCAGCAGTGAACTTTTAGTAAGTTGTAACGGTAACAGTAACAGCTATTTGCAACGCAATGATACGACAAAATCGAGCGGACATGGTATAAGTGTTTATATCGTCCCGTTGTAGTACAATATTTATTTGACGGGTTTGCACAAATTATTTAACATTCATCATTTAATCTGCTACTCGCGTATATTTATTCCGAAAAGCGATACTCCGCTTAACTCGAAGTAAAAACCGTGGATTAGTTTATCTCTGGTATTGTAGTTAAAAACATAAACATAAACACTCACGCCTGTCACCTAGAGGGGTAGGCAGAGACTATGGACTTCCATTTAGCACGATCTTGACACACCGCTCTCGCTTACTCCATATCGATATACCTACCGCATACACGCTCGTCGGTTAAAGGTAGCCTTAAGTTCCCATTTTCAATATATCGCCAATTTGGTCGATAAACTTTCGCCTAGGGTGCCCGTTCCCGACTCTGCCGTTCACCTCTGCAACATAAATTTGCTTTGTCACCCTTTCCTCATTCATTCTTTCTACATGACCAAACCACCGAATTATTATTCCTTTCTTAATCCTGGTCACAACATCATCTTATAAACCACACTCTTCTCTTATCAAACAATTTCTCACCCCGTCATTCAGATTCATCCCTAACATACTCCTTCACGACCGCATTTCTACAGCATTTATTCTACTCTCGTGCTTCTTCTGCCACACCCAACTTTCACTACCATGCATTAAAGTAGGGACTAACACAGCATTGTGAATGCCATGCGTGCCTTTTTGGACACATTCTAACTTTCCACAATAGAGTGTAATAGCCCCATTCACTCTATTTCCTGCATTCACTCGTCGTTTTATATCTTCATCATATCTACCATTCCTGCTAATTGAAGTTAATCACGTATAAGGCGAAGTTTCGCCCACCCTTGTTCTGAATATAATAAAATCACCGAGCAATATTTAACAAGTTCTCATATGTGAAAGATTGTGCTGTGGTCCTTCGAGCCAGATTTGTACCAGCGATTTTGTATGATTAAAAAATGGCGAGTCTCCCATATTATGTGAAAGATTGTGCTGTGGTCCTTCGAGCTAGATTTGTAACAGCGTTTTTGTATGATTAAAAATACCGAGTCTCCCATATTATGTGAAAGATTGTGCTGTGGTCCTTCGAGCCAGATTTGTACCAGCATTTTTGTATGATTAAAAAATGGCGAGTCTCCCATATTCTGTGAAAGATTGTGCTGTGGTCCTTCGAGCTAGATTTGTAACAGCGTTTTTGTATGATTAAAAAATACCGAGTCTCCCATATTACGTGAAAGATTGTGCTGTGGTCCTTCGAGCCAGATTTGTACCAGCGTTTTTGTATGATTTAAAAATGGCGAATCTCCCATATTATGTGAAAGATTTTGCCATGGTCCTTCGAGCCAGATTTCTACCAGCGTTTTTGTATGATTAAAAAATGGCGAGTCTGCCATATTATGTGAAAGATTGTGCTGTGGTCCTTCAAGCTAGATTTGTACCAGCATTTCTGTATGATTAAAAATGGCGAGTCTCCCATATTATGTGAATGATTGTGCAATGGTCCTTCGAGCTAGATTTGTACCAGTATTTTTGTATGATTAAAAATGGCGAGTCTCCCATATTCTGTGAAAGATTGTGCTGTGGTCCTTCGAGCTAGATTTGTAACAGCGTTTTTGTATGATTAAAAAATACCGAGTCTCCCATATTATGTGAAAGATTGTGCTGTGGTCCTTCGAGCCAGATTTGTACCAGCGTTTTTGTATGATTTAAAAATGGCGAATCTCCCATATTATGTGAAAGATTGTGCCATGGTCCTTCGAGCCAGATTTCTACCAGCGTTTTTGTATGATTTAAAAATGGCGAGTCTGCCATATTATGTGAAAGATTGTGCTGTGGTCCGTCGAGCCAGATTTGTACCAGCGATTTTGTATGATTTGAAAATGGCAATTCCATTGCTTTTATTATATATTATTGCACTTATACTTAACAAAAAGATCTTTTTCTT